TTCCCGGGAAGCTGAGAATGTTTCGGAGTGTTCTATGGTCTGCTGGGTTAATAATATAGTGTAAAGCGCATAGAGCCTGCTGTTGAGCGGGGATATGCGCTATACAAATGCTATCTATCTATTATTATTAGTTTTGGCCTCTTCTCCTTCTATTACGTTTGTTACTCTCCTGTAACACCTCTAATAGTAATAGTCGGCACTAAGGCCAGGAGCGCACAGGGCAACTTTAGTTGCGCAACTGTTTTCTCGCTCAAATGTAAACAATGAAATAAATAAGCACCGCGCGCAAAGGCAACTCGGGTTTTTGGAGACTGAAAAGTTTATGTTTTGTCACAACTTTCCGGCAACGCAATTGTTGCTCAAATCTCCTGTGTTGTACATACCAAACTGACACACAGCACGCACAGGCAACCAAACTGTCTTTCCTCTGATGAAATTCTGCTCCTCCAGTTGGTGTTTCGATACGTAATTGAGGGTCCCGCTAGACGTAAAAGTCCATGAAAACTGTCTGAGCTTCTACGATAATTGTAAAAAAAACTTGAGGGTACGCTTTCATATCTTTATGCAGTTTGACAAAACGCCCTTTTAAAAACCTCTGATTGGTCAAAGGGTGAACTTTCGCGTATAAATGTGCGCCGAGTGCGGGCTTCTTGGTTTCCGCATTTCTTATAGCAACTTTTATCACTCAACAACGAACTACTTTCTGTTCCACCATAAACATTCGTATAGCCGCAGTGTGATCCGAAGCCAAGTGTTTGAACGTGTCAGTGGATGGTTGGTGGGTGCTCTTATTCTTTCAAACGTTGATAATTCTTATCTCTCCTCCTTCTTTTATGTTCTTTACTCTCTTGTAACCCCTCTAATCGTCGGCACTAATTATTTGACCTGTGTTGCAAATGCTGTAAAACGCTTGCTGAAACATACATCTATCACCCTTATATCTCCCCCTTCTGTTACGTTCGTTACTGTAACACCTATAACTTCTGGCATTTATGTGACCTAATTGTGTCACTAGTGCTTTAAAATATTTATCAAATCATAAAACGCTATGCCAACATGTCTGTTTGTGCACCAGCTGTGATGTCCACTGACGGCTCCGTGGTATCCCACATGGTTCAGCAAAGTGAGGAGGAGGTGAACAGGATCGTTATACAGATCAAAGACAGGCTCAGAAAGTCTGGGGTGAGTTTGGTTTTCCAAAATTTTCCTCGTTCCATAAAATTATGGTATTTCCCACTAGTCCATCTACCTACACCCCCCCCCTCCTACCCCGTTTCTTTCTTTCTTTCTTTCTTCCTTTCTTTCTTTCTTTCTTTCTTTCTTTCTTCCTCTATGTGTGTGAGTGTCTGTGTGTTTGTGTGTCTGTCTGTCTCCCTCTCTTTCTGCTTGTCTGTCTCTCCCCCTCCCTCCCCATTTTTCTCTCTCCTTTCTCTCACCTGTCTGTCTGTTTGTCTGTCTGTTTGTCTGTCTGTCTACATACCCGTTTCTCTCCCTTTCTCTCTCTCTCTCTCTCTCTCTCTCTCTCTCTCTCTCTCCCTCTCCCTCTCTCTCCCTCTCTGTCTCCCCCTCTCTCTCTAATGAGATAATAAGGCTATAAATAGTTCAACCTGCTATGCACAGGTGGACATGTATAAGGCTATTGCTGAAGACCACAATGCTGTCGTCATCTTTTAAAATACTGTATCTGCAGTGTTTACCATTTTACAGGAAAGCCACAAAAAAACAACAACTGGGTGGTGTTACCAAGATAGCAAAATTTATTTTGTTTTAAAGATAATAAAGAAGTTTTTATCAAAACCATATTATCAAAAGTATTGACTTGGGATGTTTGCAAAGAGTTTGTTTTCGTGGTAGCAGCACTCAGTTTTTGTTTTTATTTTTTAAATTTTTGGTTCTCCTGTAAAATTGTACAATTTAAAACTGCGTATACTGCATTTTTTTAAATGATGGCAGAATGGGGCTTAATGATGTTGATTACATCGTAAAATAATCTGGTTATCTAAGAACCACGTCACGTTATACTTGTAGAGCTTATGTTAGTTTAGTGGTTGTAGATTAATTAATATTAGCAGAACTTAAAAAAAATGAAATACAGCCTAACCTGCTCTAACGAACACCTGTTCAAGACAACCACTTCTACCAAACTGCCACGTCCCACTCCCCCCTTGCGTTTTCCCTCCATAATAATATTATCAAACACTGTCTAAAAGGTCCACCTGTCTACACTCTAAGATGATCTTTTTTCCATGTCGTAGCATACCTCTTGATCCATAAGCCTTTGGATTCCAGGCCAGCACTGTTTTTGATATGCAGCTGCTTACCTTCCTAAAGGTGTAAACGTTTCCTATTATTTTAATTCAAAATTAATATCCGATCTGAATTTACTAGCACAGTTTCTTTCTTGACTGAAACAATCGTGCATCAGGCAGAGCCGCTCTAAGTTCTGACAAGGAGGCTTGCTTGTTCTACAGGATAACGGTGTTCGCCTTTCATTCAATAGGTCTCAGGTTCGAAACCTGACCGCGACGAAATATGTGTTTCTCCTAAAAAAAATTCTCCGTTCACCTTTCCTGCTTCTAATCATGTTCTGACGCCAGCTTTAGTCTAGATTTTCTGCGCACTCCCCCTCCTTTTCCCATTCCTATCGGCTCCTTGTGACTCTTTATGCTGCCTTTCTACAGCCACTCCTTCGCTCCTTCTCACTGTTGTCTTTAAGCCGTACCCCCGAACTTAGGGTTGGTGAAATCTAACTCCAAGCTTTCTCGGATAAGGGTGAAACAATCTCGGAGGTCCTGTGTGCAAGTAGTGCACTTTAAAGATCCTTTGGTGGACCTAAAATCAATAAGAGTTGGCCGAGACCCAGGCAAAATTCTAAATTACCAAACTGAAATGAAATGTTTTTTATGTGATCCGCGCGCTCATATGACCATTATGCAGCTGTGAGCGCCGTAATACACTGACCAAAACAAAACAAAAACTAGCTTCTTAAATATGTTTCAACATAATTTGCTATAATTTTAATTCAAAATTGATATGTCCAACCTGAACTTATTAACACAGTGTCTTTCTTTATTAAAACTACCACACATCAGGTGAATCCGATTAAAATTCTGACGTCACCGTTGATTAAATCGCTGTCCCCAGTTACCTGCCAGACTCATGCGACCTTACGAAGTTGTGAGCGCCGTAAAACACTTACATAAGAATCCCCCC